GGTTTAGGGTTTAGGGTTTGCCCGTAAAGCTGAAGCACTGTGGTGACGTGGGTAGTTTGTACTGGTAATCCCGCGTAGTCCCACTATGGTATAATATGGTTTACATCATACCCCGAAACCCTACCCACTCTACGTCTTGCATCTTGAGACCTATGCTGAGTGCTATAGCTCAGGCCCCCGACAAGAGCAAACCTAGGAAAACAAAACAGGGCCCCTATAACTATCCTGGTCATTAAGGCCCTACCTTGAATCCACAAAAGAACCACAAAGTCCTATAAACACAAACTTCTTCTACTTATCGAAGCCATATTCAGAGTTTTGGAGACTCCAGGAAGGCGCAAAGATCGAACCCTCCTAAACCCTAAAGCCCCAAAACACCCCAAACCCTGAAACGTACTAAACTCCATAGCCCGACATTCCTAAGCATCCAAAAACTCTGAATTTATTACTGTAAAATCTAAAGCACCAAAAACCCTGAAACCAGTCCTGAAACCCTACACTCCAAGCACGGAAACCTGAATTCTGGAGGCTTCGAGTCTCCGAGAAGACTTGGCATCGGACCCCCGAGGACTTGCGCTCGGCACCTTTCGATTCCAGGGTCACCTGCTCGGCGCTGTCTTTTTTGGGTTCTAAACCCTTAATATAGAAGCCTTAATAATTAGAATAGGGTTTGGGGGTCCAATATACTCAAACTATAATCAGGAACCCCCAAAATAGTATACAGTGTTGGTAATTATTTAGGCCCCCATGGTAAACCCTTTCCGTCTGCACGAAGTCTCTGCTACAGCATCGAATCCTGCTTAGGGTTTAGGGTTTCGGCTAGGGTGCACGACTTTATTGGAAGGCTTTGGGGTTTCAGCTGGATTTCCGGGGTTTTAAAGGACTGTACACGGTTCATGGTGTTTTTGTTTATCATGCTTTGTCATGCTTGATAAAGTGATGATAATAGAGTTTACACTATGCTCCCCAGCAACACCTCAAAAATATCAGGCTACACCTGTTCGAACTTTTCAGTCTTTGGAGAGTATGAGAACCAAACTGGGCGACCTACGCTGGTTGATCGGAGGGAGATGCTCTGGACGCGGTTTGGGATCCCAAAGGAAGGTCTGAATAATTAGTAGGGGTAGCCACAGCACTGGGAGTTCGGATTAGGGGGTTTAGGGTTTTAGGGTT